AGGAGAGCAAGTGAGGAGGTGAGCGCTCTTGCTCAGCACATTCTCGCCATGCAACATCCTGTCTCACTATAGAAGGCCCTCATCAGACGCACCTCCTGAACTGAGGACTTCCCAGCCTTCAAAACTGTAAGAAATAAATTTTATTGTTTTATAAATTACTGTTTCAGGTAATCAACAGAAATAGACTAATACAGAATGATATATTTTTAAACTGTATGAACAAATGAACCCTGAAACTGCATTTCCTACTAATAGATGCAATGCAGTCTCCATCTTTTCTTTGCCCCAAATAACAGAATGAGTTATAAAGAAAAAAATGGGGTGTTAAAGCTACAGCTTTTCACTGGATATCCATATGTAGAAAAATGAAACTAGACCCCTATCTCTCACCATATACCAAAATCAACTAAAAAAAAAAGACTTAAATAAGACATGAAACTATAAAACTTCTAGAAGAAAACACAAGGGAAATGCTTCAGGATGTAGGACTGGGCAAAGATTTTATAAATAAAACCTTAAAAGCACAGGCAACAAAAGCAAAAATAAACAAATGGGATTATATCAAACTAAAAAGCTGCATAGTAGTAAAGGAAACAATCAACAAAGCAAAGAGACCACCTGCAAAATGGGAGAAAATATTTGCAAACTATGCACCTGACAAGGGATTAATATCCAAAATATACAAGGAATTCAAAACAACTCAATAGTAAAAAAAAATAAATAAATAAAAAGAATCCAATTAAAAAACTGGCAAAGGAAGTGAATAGATACTTCTCAAAAGAAGACATACAAATGGCCAACAGGTATATGAAAAAATGCTCAACATCACTAATCATCAGAGAAACGTAATTCAACACACAGAGATATCATCTCACCCTAGTTAGATTTGGCTATCATCAAAATGAAAATCATAAATGTTGGTGAGGATGCAGAGAAAAGGGAACATTTATACACTTTGGTGGGGCTGTAAATTAGTACAGCCATTATGGAAAACAGTACGGAGATTTCTCAAACAACTACGAACAGAACTACCATACAATCCAGCAATCCCACTACTGGTATAAACCCAAAAAACTGGAAATCATTACATCGAAGAGATACCTGCTCTCCCATGTTTATCCCAGCTCTATTCACAACAGCCAAGATATGAAACCAATCTAAATGTCCATCAACAGACGATTGGATAAAGAAAACAAGGTATATATACACAACAGACTACTACTCAGCCATAAAAAAGAATGAAATTCTGCCTCACAACAGCATGGATGAGCTTGGAGAAAATTAAGTGAAATAAGGCACAAAAAGAGAAATATCACATGTTCTTACTCCTATGTGGGAGCTAAATAATAAATTGTTGAACTTTTTGAAGGGGAGGGTAGAAATGTGGTTACTAGAGATGGGAAAGGGAAGGGATAGTGAGAGGTTGGTTAATCGACACAAAATTACGGCTAGATAAGAAAAATAAGTTCCTCTGGTGTAGAGTAGAGCTAGGCATCTATAACTAACAACAGTTTACGGCATGTTATCAAATGGCTAGAAGAGAGATCAAAAGTTTTCAACATAAAGAAATGATTAAATACTGCAATGATGAATATGCTAATTTTCCTGGTTTCATCACCACACATTGTATACATGTATGGAAATATAAATCAGTACCTATAAATATGTCATCAATACGTCTCAATAAAAAAAAAAAGCTCCAGTTTTTGGTGCAGGATACAGTTAAATTGCACCACTCGCTCACCCTTCCTGGCTGAAGAGCACTTTCGAGCCATGTGCAGAACTTTAATATGTTAGCTGAAACATATTTGAAGGCCTAGTCACCATTAAATCCAAGAAATAAGCCCCGTGGTAAGGCAAGAGTTTAGAAAGATACATACTCAGTCACTGGTGGTCCCTGAACAAACGGATAGTACGTAGCTGCACAGCTAGGGAAGACACATGCTTCTGAGGACTCTGACCATGCCACATTGAGTCCAGCAAATCTGGGGACAAACGGTTTGACATCTGCTGATAACTTGATGCCCTGAAGAAAAAAAGGGGGGTTGGCTACATACATTCCGAAATCAACCAAATGTAAACAAAAAACCCCAAAGAGCGGTGCTCCATTCTAACGGCCCCAGAAATGCTAATCCCAATGCTGTTGCTTAAAAACTTCTGCCTAGTAAAGACAAGAATTCGTTAGCTAACGATTTCTCCCTGATGCTTTTTTTCTTAGAAAAAACAGTCTTCTACACATAAAGTGTGAAAAATAAGGACAACCAGTTAAAGTAAAAGTAAAATTCAACCCAGGTTATATAGTTAGGGCCACACTGACGTTTCCATAGTTTTAAACATGGAATAAGCGTATTTTAGTTAGGAATGATTGAGAATCATTGAGACACTGCGGTCAAATACACCCAGAGAATAGTTAAATGTAGTACTCAAAACAGAGCGCATAGGTTTATTTCCATTAAATTTCTCCAAAAAGTTGCACAAAACATTTGCTTTTTACTCAGTGAACAACTAAGTCGAGTTTCACTGAAAAGCAAAATCATGCTTTGGTAGAACATCGCCCCATAGCCACGAGCACTCGGAATTTAATTTTAAAAGTGTATTGTTTCTCTTACTGTTTAGATACATAGGAAAAGATCTACTTTCCCTGAGAATTTCATAACCACAGTTTTTAATTAGAGTCTCAAACTAATTTACGCGATTGCCACGGCTCCATCTGTGGCAATGTAGAGCGGAGCCCGACGTTTAGGGAAACCCAGGGTGCTTTAAAACCAGCTACTCCTTCCTTCCCCGGAGCCCCGCGAGCTCGCCCGAGCTCCCCCGCCCTGACTGTTGTGCATGCTGGGCAGGGCGCCGTCACTGGCCTCTGCGGCATCACACCCTAAATGCGGCGCAAATCCGGGGCGGGGGTCTGCGGTACCCGACCACGGCCCCCAGACGGGCCCGGGGATCGCGGCAGCCCTCATGAGCGCTTCCAGATCGTCTCTAGCACGCCCGCCCGGCCAGCCCCGTTACTGTCCGACCGAAACCCCGGGGCGAGCCGGGTCAACGGGCTGAAGCCGCCGAGAGCGCCCGCGGGCCCAGGCAGCCCCCGACGGCCCTTACCTCGCCTCCGGGATCCCGTGGCCCCTCCGATGCCATGGTGGGCGGCTCGGAGGAAGCCTCGCCGTAGCGGCCAGCAGCCGGACCGTCGGCTGGCCCCACAGACGACACGTTTCCGCCTTTGGAGCGGCAGCCAGGAAGTGCGTCACAGAGCGCGACGGGACCCGCCTCTTCCTCAGGCCGGTAGTGTGCGGGGGCGATTCTGAGTCTGCGCGGGCCGCACGTGGAGGTCACGGTAACGTGGGTAGCAGGCGTGTATCCTGACATTCCTGCGGGCTGCGGTCTCGGTGTAGGTTAGAAGATCTTGAAGTCTGCCCTGAAGTGCTGGACTATGTGAGCGTTCCTACCAAGGCAACAGCGACTGGAAACTCGAGTGAGGCCGCAGCTTAGTCAAGTTCCCTGAGCCACGGGAGTCTAACATTAGCTAGGAGGGCAGAGAGCTCCTTGGATAATGTGGCCTGTAAAGGCCTCTCGCAGAGGTGACCTTTGCGGCAGTCACCTGAAGAGGCAAGTTTACTAGTAAGGGCAATGCGGGGTGGCCCCGCTCACGATTGCATTCCTTAAAGATTTCCTCAAGATCGGTGACTTGGGAGATTGTACACCCTGTAAATCCTACAGACCTGTAAAGCCTTACAAAAAGATTGGTATCCCACATTTTCAGAAACTAAGCAGCATGGAAGTAACCACGGAAAGGAATTTCAAAATTGCTACCTATTTCAACTGGTATGAACATTAAAAAATGCGCTTAGGACAAAGTTATGGGACAGGAAAGTATGGCTTCCGCGGTGAAAAAAGGCTCTTCGGGAGTGCTGAATGCGTTAAGTACTAAGAAATTTATAAGGGGCATCAAGGATAAGAGGCTGACCAGAGAGGTACAGGGGAAGGCCGCAAAGTGGATTTCAATAGATGGAGGAGGAACTCCTACCTCAGAGGCTTGGAGGAAGGTGGAAGCAGACTTAAGGAACAGAAAATATTTGCCAGCAACGTAGGCCACTTGAGGAATGGGACCTAATGAGGTTGGAGCAAATTACAGATGTCCTCTGTCCCTTGCACATAGACCAGACATTTATTTCAAGCAGGAAATGGAGGCAGCAGCTCCAGTTCTCTTCCACATTTCTGTCCAACTGGGTCCCACAGCTTTACTAAACATACCTGGACACACCCAACCTCTAGCAGGTCTCTCAGATCTCTCCTAGGGTCTGGCCAGAATCTATGCTGTACGTTGAGGGATAGCCGTCACCCCTCTCTCATCACTCTACACTAGGGTGTAGTAAAGTTTACTTAATTTTGGCATCTTTCTGTTGGATTGTTACCATGGACCTCTCTAGCTGATGTGTCTGTCCTGTGGTGGTGGCTGGGCTGGGGATAGATTCTAGGCTGCTGCTCATCACTTTCAATAGTTATTGTAATCATTATGTGTAAAGACATCCTTTCTAAACAGAGGGTCTTATATTTACCAGTGCGGCTTACTTAAAATGTCTCTCCAGCATAGTAATCAATTACCGTAAATAGCCTGTGTCTGCATTTAACTCCAAAACATTTTCCTAGCCTAAGGCAATGTAAACAGATGAAAAATAAATAGGGCATGAAGGTGTTTTACAGTGCTTTTGAACTTTACTATATTTTATAGGGAACATTATCCCCACTTGGCTAATGGAGAAAAGGAAAAACAGAGTTAAGTGTTTCTCCCAAGACCACTAGCAGTCAGTGGCAGTTCTTAGACAAGTGGAAGCAGCCCAGGTAGTATTGTGGGGCTTTTCTGTTCAATTGGAGATTCTAGACAATTCTTTAGGAGCTTGTCTAATAATAAAGCTGTAAAATCTACTTTGGCTTAGTTTAAACTTATCCGTGGTTCTTGCTTTCTTCCTAAGTGAAATAAATGGTACCCCAATCATACCAAGCTATTTTAAAATTTAAAATTTCTTTATTTCCTCATGGTTAAAACTATAAAACTGGAACCAAATAATCTCAACAGGCACAAATTAACCATAAAAAATATATCTCAGTAACCTCAAATGGTGATAAATGCAACACAAAAACTTTATTTAACAAAAGTAACAGGTAAAGTCAAACAGACTAGAAAAAACTGACTAGAAGAAACTATCTTAAACACCTTATAGTAACCTACTTGCAGTTGCATTTAACTGAGCTCTGTTGCTGTGAAGAATACAGCTCATGCACAGGTATGGATGAGTGATTTGTACATTTTTTTCAAGTATTCACTGAATACTACCTTATATACACATATACATTAAATTTGAAAAAGATTTGATGATCCGCAGATATACTTCATTTTTGTTGATCTTTTGGAAGAGGTCGTCTAAAGAGAAGAATATGCGGTTCTGTGGAAAGAAATGTTTTACATCATTTTAATATAATACTTAATTTTAACTTGCTCAACAAAAATCAGAGAATTCTCAATTGAACCAAAAAACAAACTAAGTCCACTTTTAAACTGGTTGGAGGTATCTAAAATGAACTTTGCTTCAAAGTTACTATCAACAGTAAACAGAAAAAAACAACCTGACAATGAGAACATTCCTCCAATATTTTTGTTTTACCCATCCTGGAGAAAAGGGATAGTAAGTAGAGAAGCTACCTGAGGAGAGTGGTTTCTACTTTTAGAGTCTCAGAGTGAAAAATAAAGAGAAAGATCCCCTCATTCAAATCTCCTCCTGGATATCTCACACTAATGCACATTGAAAACCACCAGCAGCTCATAAAAATGCAGGTCCCAGAAGGTCATCCCCATAGATTCTGTATGTGGGGCCCAGGAATCTACAGTTAAGTTCCTCAGTTGCTTTGTATTATCTGGAGAAAGACCATTGAACTGTAATATGATTATGTGCCCCAATCCCAAGAAAACTATGAGTCTTGAGTTTTTGATGCTGTTTAACAGAAGAGTAGAAAACAAGATACCTTTAGTTCCACCTACTTTAGCTTCTACAGTATGTCTTTAAATTTTGTTGAAAGCATTATAAATTCTTTAAGTTATTACTGATAATCCAAAAGAATTTAACCCCAACATTTTAGTCTAGTTTAATATTTAATATCTGGGAAACTTCTGATTAATAGCACATAATGCGAAGGGTACTTCAAAAAGTTCGTGGCAAAATAGCATTAAAAGGTAATATAAATCCATGAACTTTTTGAAGTACTCTCATAACATAAGACACTCATATAAGCATAAATTAGGCAGCAAAATTCTGAGTTCATAAAATGTTATCTCATTTAACCTTAATGTGGTAGATAACATTATCCTTTAAGAGGACTAAAGGAAAAGACAGATCACTTCAAATTGCATCAATTTGTATATACAGAACTTAAAGACACTTAAGTTGTCTTAAAATAAGTTCTTAGTTTTAAAAGAAGGGACTGCAGATACTAGATATGGCAAAATATAACATACTATTAACAAGGACAAATTTTAAGACAGATTAGCTATTTTTTGACTTATTTTTGCAGGTAGAACATAGCTGCTTTCATTCCTGTGGTATATGAATTACTATAATATTGGAAATCTCTCCAGGGAGTTAAGGAATCAGTCATTTAGAAAATTATCACTTAGGGCCGGCCCGGTGGCGCACTAGATAGTGCGCCGCTTGGGAAGCACAGCGGCGCTCCCGCCCGAGGGTTCGGATCCCACGTACAGACCGGTTCCCGCTCACTGGCTGAGCGAGGCACGGGAGCAACACCGAGGGTTGCGATCCCGTTGCCGGTCCCCATTACTATAATATTGGAAATCTCTCCAGGGAGTTAAGGAATCAGTCATTTAGAAAATTATCACTTAGGGCCGGCCCGGTGGCGCACTAGATAGTGCGCCGCTTGGGAAGCACAGCGGCGCTCCCGCCCGAGGGTTCGGATCCCACGTACAGACCGGTTCCCGCTCACTGGCTGAGCGAGGCGCGGGAGCAACACCGAGGTTTGCAATCCCGTTGCCGGTCCCCGGTCCGGTACGGGGGCAACACTGAGGGTTGCGATCCATTGCTGGACACGGACAAAAGACAAAAAAAAAAAAAAATATCACTTATCACAGAGATACTTTGGGACATCATTGAATGTCAATGTCACTAAAAAAAATCTGACAACCACCACCACTACTACAAGGGTACTTCACCAAATTTGTGGAAAAACAGAATTAAAAGATAATATGAATCTTTCCATGATCTTTTTGAAGTACCCTCGTATTTAAATTCAGTTAAGGCTTTACTATAGGAAAACTTACCTGGTTCATGAATCATGTAATGAACCCAGCCTAGACTCTGTTGGACACCAAGTCTCCTCCATTCCTCTTCAGACATCAGATGGGTTTTGGGTACTTGTTTGGAAAGTTCTCTGGGTAACATGACATGCCTGTTAAAAGACACAGCTAAGTATTAGTGCCTTTCCTACAATTATGATCATTTTGTACATACACCTTTAGGATATTAAAATTTAAAGGTTTTGTCCTCAAAACAAAGTTCTTTAAAGCAACTCTATGTTACATTACCATTGGTATCAATATTGGGGACTACTTTCCACTACACCTTTAATTCTGATTTTCAATGGCCTGTGTTCAAATTAGGGAGATAGGAGTGTGCAATCCAAAAGCAGAAGGCATTTTATCTGGGATTAACTTTTCTTCTTACAGAGAATGCTTGCTAGTTGTCTTAATCTTCTTCAGGAATAGAACCCCAAAATCTAAGTTGGCCACATGCTTATCGGTCTCCCCTACTGCTAGCTCTGGTCATGTGACTAAATCCTGGCCAACAGGATATAAGCAGAAAATATTCAACTTATGAAAAGTATCCTCAGAGGGAAAGAACATACCCAACTCTCTTCTCTTTCTCCTTCCTATTGGATGCAGATACATGTGACCGAGGAGCTAGAGCAGCAATCTACGGAGGATGGTAAGGTAACAAGAGGGAAAGAACCCCGCCCCTAATTATCCCAGTCTGGACTAGAGTTTTAAGTAACGGCAAAAAAAATCTCCTTTTAGTTACAGTTAGCCTGAGTTTCCTGTTACTCAGCACTAGATTTGTAGTACATACAATATACTCCAGAAGTTGCTTTATACTTCAAGTACTTTGTTCAAAATTAAGAAAAAACAAAAACAAAAACCTAACTGCACATCCAAGTATACATGTATTTGCAAGCTCACACAGACATTCAGTTTCCCAATAAGTTACTGACCTATATCCAAAACTTTATTCAGTTTCTTAGGCAGGCATGAAATAGCCTTCAATATCAAACCATCAAGAATATGTACAATTGTAACTGTACAATTTTTAAAAGATAAATCCACACCTCCTTAGAGTTTTTATTTAATTACCATAAAAAGATTTTTTATATAAGCACCAAGCTGTCATCAACTTAAATTTCAGGATGTGTAGCTGGTTAGTTAAGTACTTTTGCAGGGCAAAAAGTGAGCCTCAGAACAATTATACTATGTTGCTAGGTTGCCATGATGCCGCTAAGTCAAATTATGCTTAACTACTACAGTCCATAGAACTTTCACCAATTCCAGCAAAGTATATGCTGATCCTCAGTAATACCAGGTACCACGCTCATTCTTGAAGTCCTGCTTTCATGTCTAATTTTTAAGGCTGTACAAATAGCCTCATTTCTATGATCTACATTGTTGATTAGTCTTGCAAAGAAATGTAATAATTTTGTACCTTTTCTTTCAATTTTACAGGCATAATATCTACATAAAAGTACCAACAAGTTATTTAAGTAAGTTTCCACCCCACCTTCTCCATAAACCATGGAACAAGTTCTCTTTGAGAGTTTCATTTTAAAGGAAAAAATTTTAAGTAGTATGAAGCCCACATGGGGAGTCTATCTGTATTTAGTTTTCAAACTAACAATGCATAAGGAAATTTACTTCCAAAATCCAACATTTATTTAAGTTGGAATACAAAACAGTTCAATTACTAATTTGTAAAGCTGCCCAAAGAAATCCTGTTTTCCACCTGTGAAGACACTAAAGGATAAAGAAATCAAAAGTAAAAGGATAAGGAAATCAAGTTTGCAATTACAAAAGAAAAATCAAACAGAGATATAAGATATTGCACAGTGAGAAATATACTCTACTAGCCTTTGAAATTTACATTGCATGATCCACTACACTCCATACAAACCACCCTAGACTCATTCCTCAGTGATGTATTACCAGTATAGACTCCCGTTAAAAGTATCTCTGGAGGGGGCCGAGCCGTGGCACACTCGGGAGAGTGCGGCGCTGGAAGTGCAGCAGCGCTCCCGTCGCGGGTTCGGATCCTATATAGGGATGGACCGGTGCGCTCACTTGGGAGAGCGTGGTGCTGACAACACCAAGTCAAGGGTTAAGATCCCCTTACCGGTCATCTTTAAAAAAAAAAAAAAGTATCTCTGGAGGGGGCCGAGCCGTGGCACACTCGGGAGAGCGCGGCGCTGGAAGTGCAGCAGCGCTCCCGTCGCGGGTTCGGATCCTATATAGGGATGGACCGGGGCGCTCACTTGGGAGAGCGTGGTGCTGACAACACCAAGTCAAGGGTTAAGATCCCCTTACCGGTCATCTTTAAAAAAAAAAAAAAAAGTATCTCTGGAGATTAATTACTATCTGGTTTCATAAAATGGTAAGTGGTCAATTAAAACCAGCTCTAATTTATATTGGATTAGAATAAATTACTTCAGATGTGACAGGATTTTCTTCTATACATTACCACACACAAGCCACCTAGTAAATCAGGTCTAGTGCCTATCATCAATGATTATGTAAGTATATTAAAACTAAAAACTGGAACTCCTGCTACCATAACTCCGAAAAGTGTTTTAATCTAATTTTAATATTATGCCTTAAAAGAAATTTATACAGACCCATAAATCCTTATCCCAAACACTGGAGCCATATGTGTTTCAGAAGTAATAGTTTTCCAGATTTTGTAAAGTTATTACAGCAGTTTACAATTTGTCCATTATTGGACATCCCCAGCAGGGCTCTTGGTTAACAATACATAATTGAACATTATGCCAACATATTACACAATTATAACTGTGTGGTCTGTGGTTACTATAGAAAGATAATCTACTTCATCTATAGCCAGAAAAAAACAACACGGGATTACGCTAGCTAGGAATACGAAATAGTGCTCAAATTACTAATTTGAAAAGCTGGCCAGAAAAAAATCCTGTTTTCCTACTGTGAAGATAGACTTTCATGATTGGGGGGAGGGGCGCCACCCACTGTTATGTCCTTTCTTCCTCAAATAGCATTCTTGGAAGTCTAACCTAAAAGGGCAGCAGAAAACAAGGTCATTATTTGGCCAAGGATGACAGAGGCTTTACAGCGCACCCCACCCCCACATCTTGGTAGTCTCCCAGAACTCACCATTCCAATCACTACCTAGTAGGACAAGGGGTGAACTATCTTTGAAGGCACGCTCCAATATGTCTCCCGGAAACAAAGCTAAGAATTTTTAAGGCTCTTCCTCACAATCCAATTTGCTAATTTTATTGATCAATTATAACCACTACGCTCTAGTGCATCGCTTCAGGAGTCAAAACGTCAAAAATTCCGTAGAGCCAAAAATTTTGCCGGTGTACACTGGCAGAAAAAAATGCCCACAAAGTCCACTCAAGTTCTCAATTTGGTCTTTAAACGAACCCGCTCTAATAATGCCCTTAACCGCTACAGCTTGGGTTAACGCAGAATCGCCTAAGTCACCAGACCCGATTAACGTTTTCAAACCCCCACCCCCGTTCAAGCTCATTTTCCGGGGGCTCCCCCCCAAAGTAATTTCTAGTACCACCAAATTCAAAAGCAAGAAAAAGAGAGGTGTGTTCCTCTGAGTACGTTAACAGATCAGAATCAACATTATAAACTAGTCAAGTGCCCTCACCCCGGCAGGGACGGAAGTTGCACGATCGAGAACGGAAAAGCAGGACGCTTCGGGGCGTTTTTTCGAGTAATCCTGGTCTTGCTCAAGGAACCGGAATTGAGACCAGTTACTGAATGTTCTAGTTACCGCGACCCGCCACGGACGGGAGGAGAGGGCCCCAACGGTCCTTCCACGCCATCCAGGACCGGATCCGTTTTCCGTGTTGCGCCCGTCGTCGCTCCTCCTTCATCCTCCGGGCAGACGGAACAAAGGCCCGGCGTCCGAGCGCGGCCGCACACTAGGCGCGCACCAACTGCGAGTGGCCGCAGCAACCAGGAGCCGAGCTGGGCCCGAGTTCGCCTCCACCCCGTCCCCGGCCCCCTAGGCCCCGACTTTCGATCCCTCCGACCTCCCCACCTGAGGGAGCCGCGCCCGAGGGAGCTGGCCCGGAGTATAAGGAGGCTGCTCACCGGTACTCGTAGTGCTCGTCAAAGTACTTGTCCGAGTAGTATATCTGCTTGTGGGCCATCCTGCCGGCTCGCAGCGGGGCGGAGAGCAAGAGAGCTGGCAGAGCAGACCTCACCTCCACGTCCGGCCAAGGTAACGACTCGACTAAGACCAACGACCAACAGGCCCAACGATCCCGATTTGAATCCGACAGCCCGCCGCCGATTGGACAGCAGCAGCGACCAATCACCAGCCGCCTAAGCTGCGGAAAGGAAGGCCCGGCTGCCAGCCTATCGTCGCCTCGCTTCCTCGGCTTTCGCTTACCTGGTGAGCCAATCAGAGACCTGTTGTGAGGTTGCCCGAGGGAAGAAGTGGAGTATAGGTACGGCGCGGGGCCGGGCAGCGCCCTAACGGGCGGGGGCGTGGTCACAGAAGGGCGGAGCCGGGGTGTTAAGGGCCGCAGAGCGCCTGCGTAGGGATTTGGAACGTTTCAGGCCGGGGAAGCCGTTTTGGTGAAGTATCGCGGGTTTTGGCGAGGCCGGAAGCGTTGTCCGCGAGGCTCGGAGCGGTCACCCTCTTCCCCCTGCTGTGATGCCGCCCGATGTGCCCACAAGCTCGCGCCCCGAGTCCAATTTGAAAGGCAGTAGAAGGCAGAGAGGCGGTGGGTTGTGAGGAGGATCCCGGCGGCCGACCGTTTGGGTGAGGGGAGCTCGGGAAAGGCGGCCGGGGGCGGCGCGGCACGCCCCTCTAGAGAGACCCGCGTCTGGAAACGGGCTGAGGTCCAGGGAGCTTGCTGTAGCCTAGCCTGCTGTCAGAAAACCAGAGGCAAGTCTAGATACGGGGAGGCCGAGCCAGTGAATGCAGCCGCCAGAAATAACGATTCCGATTACCGGATAATGGGATTAAAAGGGATTTTGAAACTTTTTTCTGGTCTCTTAGTATTGATCTTACTTTAAAAATATACGTACATATAAAGTTACTGGAAGAAAAGATGTCGAGGTGTAAATAGTCATTTTTAGATGACAGTTAAAAACAGTGGAGTTGTTAGTATTTTTCACGTTTTCCACAATGAGCATATACGTCATTTTTATATAAAGTTTTATGCGGCGTGTTCTAGCACAATACACACGGCTTCAGAGCGTGAATATTCCCCCCCTACTGCCCTCCCACACGTTGTCAGTAGTCAGCTGTGGCTGCTCGAACAAAGTAACCTAGAAGGTGTGTCTTAAACAAATTTCTCACAGTTCTGGAGGCTGAAAGCCTGAGGTCAGGGTGGCAGCAGGACCTGGTTCTGATGAAGGCCCTCTCCCTGGTTGCAGACGGCCCACTGAGCGCTCTCATGGCGCTTATAAAGGTGCCAGTCCCATTCATAAGGACTCCACCTTTGAGACATCTAACCCTAATTACCCTGGAACGGCCACCTCCTAATACCATCACATGGGGATGGAGGATGGGATTAGAGTTCAATTGATGAGTCTGGAGGGTATTCAAACATTCAGCGTAATACCCATGATAGTACCCTTCAGGTCTCTAGGTTAAGGATTCTGTCTTCTGAAAGGTCTTAATCGTTCTTGAGGAAGTCCCTCCCTTTCCCCATTCTCCATCCATAGAATCCTGCGGATTTCCCTTTGTAATTTCCTTAGTAATAGCGTATTTGCTTAGGTATTGTTCATCCCACTACCTGCACTCTGATATATTCTACATTACACCAGTTTAGAGCGCATGTCTGTTTTGTTTAACCACACCATGCCCAGCACATAGCAGAGTCCCTTGCACATGATGAACACTCAATAATAAGTAAATCTTAAATAATAAATTTTAGGCATAGGAATATATACCTAAATAGTTAGGCATAATAATAATTGTGATGGTAAAGATGTGAATAAACTGTTAAGGGAGATAGATAAGGAAATTCCTAACTCTCTGGAAAAAACTGGGAAAGAAAAACTTCTTGGAGATGTATTTTTTAAAAGGTGTATTATGAGAAATTTCATACACAGAATAATATAATGAACTCCCATGTACTGTACCAATCACTCAGCTTCAGCAGGTAATATTTTGCCAATCCTATTTCATTTATTTCCCTCTGAACTTTTTTTTCTAGAGTAAAGAGATCCCAGATATGTCATTTCACTCCTAATACTTTTGGTTATATCTCTGTACTGTACTTGCGGTATACAGATCAAGAAAAATTTTTTAAATATTTAACCACCATGTCATTTATTACACTTAGAGTTACTCAAATATGTTCTGATAGTTGTTTTACAGTCACACTCCCCTGATTGTCTCACTGTCATGGAAACCAAGTCCAGCTGCCTGCCACCAAACACAAATGCCTCAAAAGTCAACTGTTGGCGAAAAGGGAAGGCATCTTTATTCAGGACCGGTAACCTGAAGGAGATGGTAGGTTAAGCCATCTCAAAGGCTCAAGTTAATTGAGGGTTTTTGTGGGATAAGAAGCGGGGAGTAAAAAGCAGGAGAGAGGAAAACATGGGCTATGGGGACTCCATTTAAGGAGCCGGGTGCAAAGTCTTTCCCAGGCTCCATCTGGTTTCTGTTCTCATCCTTGACCTTATGTTTGGGTCCTGCAGGATTTTGATTTGCTTCAGAGTGGAGTCCGCATAGCCTTATTGATGTCTTCCTTGGTTTTTCAGGGTCTGAAAAATAGCTCTACGCACTTATGTAAATAATGTGATTCTGCCCTGTGACCAAGGTTCAAAATACCAAATAACCATGGGAAGAGAGGGAACTCAGTGAGATGCATGCTAAGGAAAAAAAAAAAAAACTGTCTTTTAAAATTTTTTCTAAGGCCCAGGCAGTTTTAGGTCCCAACATGGCTTCAGTCCTATTCGTGCAAACATCACCAATGCCTTTTTACAGATGTTTGGTTTGGCTCTGCTTCCAAGCTTAGGCCTACGCATTGCATTTGGTTATTGTCTCTTTCAGTCTTCTTTGAACAGCCCCACCCCCACTCTGCACACACACCCACCACGTTTTTAAATACCAGTTTATCAAACAAGGTCATTTGTGCCTGTGAAATGTTCCACAGTCTGGATTTGGGTGATTGCTTCCTTGCGATAAAATTTACTTGTATTTCTTATAATGTGGCATTTAGATCTGGGTTAAAAAACAAAACAATTTGCCCGAATCCATACAGCTAGCAAGTGGCAGACTCATATTGGAGCCCAAGCGATGTGACTGTCCAGAGTTAGGTTTCTTAACCATGTTTCTATGCTGTCTCTTAGAGTTCCAAAGGTAGAAAACCAGATGAGGGAAGGGCCTTTCCAATAGAGGGATTGACATTTATGAAGGCTTGAGAAAATATGGTATATGCAGAGAATACTGAATAAGCTTGGCTTAAGGATATGGAAAGTTGTGGGAGGTGAATCTGGGAGGACGGATGTGTTACAAATATGGTCCCCAAAGATGTCCATGTCATAATCTTTCGAATCTGTGAATATGTTACCTTACACAGCAAAAGGGACTTTGCAGATGTGATTAAGTTAAGGGTCTTGAGATTAGGGAGTTTATCCTGGATTATTGGGGTGGGCCAATGTTATTTCAAGGGTCCTAACAGGAGGGAGATGGGAGGATCAGGGAAGGAGCTGAGATTAAAGCAGAAGTCAGAGTGATATGACCATAGGGCAAGGAATGCGGGTGGCCTCTAGAAGCCGGAAAAAGCAAGGAACAGCTTCTTCTCTAGAGTCTCCAGAAGAAACTCAGCCCTGCTGACACCTTGATTTTAGCCTAATAGGACCTTTTTGGACTTCTGACCTCAGGAACTATAAGATAATTAATATGATGTTTTAAGCCACTAAATTTGTGGTAATTTGTTAAAATAGCAGTAGGAAACTAGACAGTGGATTGGGCCAGACTGGAAAGGGATTCTTGGAGTCCTAGCTAATAAGTTTGGTCATTTGGACTAATGTGGGTCCATCTGATGTTCTCAGCTGGACACACAATCAGATCAGATGCAATAAAAGTAATTGAGAGGAATGTGGAATATGGGATGGAAGAAATTGCCTTAATAGGGGTATCCCTTTTGGAAAGTTGTTGTATTTGTAGGGATGTTGCATCATAATGAGGGTCTCAGCTATGATAGTTGAGTTGATTAGGAGGGGACTGACTTGAAGTTTGAGGATAGAACCAATAGTTACTGGATTTCTCTGCTGCTTTTTTTGAAATGGGCCTTACAGGAAGTTTAGGTTTCTATTGATGTTTACTGGGTGAGAAGATATAGTTCCTTCCTAAGCTAAGGTTAGAGCATGCCCAACTTATCACAAATCTTCAACATACACCTACCCCACCAGCAGACCATTAGTGCAGTGACCCATATTCAGTGATTCAGCAAATGCTCCTTGAGCAAAGAACCAGACAATGTGCTAGGAGAACCTTACTCCTGGGGATAGCAATGATTCTTCTATTCCTAATAATAATGTTATCTATCTAGAAGGTACTTTAAAATTTGCATAAACATTTTTTCATTGCCTTATCTGAACCTCCACATCAATAGGCAGGATGGATAAAAGAATTTCAGCTACAAAACCCTCCTTGACTAAAATTTCTCAATCTAAACAAGACAAAAATTTAAATGTGGCTATATTATCAAAAGTGTTTATTCACTGTGTCAATAGAAGCAACTTATGACAGTGAATTCTACGTGTAAGGAATATAACTAAGAATGTAATTTAAAATGTGTATTAATCTCTTTCCTACTAATGTGGGCACAAGACTGATCTAATTCAGAACTATCAGCACACAGAATCTAACTAAAGTTAGAGCTACAAATGCTTACTCTCTATCACATTCTGTTGATTTTCTGCTAATAACTGTGGATGAGGAAGAAGCAGATTGTGTATGCCATTTTCAGTGACTGCACACATTGCTGTTCAATGTTAGCATACATTTGTATATAATTCTTAATTAAAAATTTTAATTCCCACCAAACTCATAGCACTCTTCCTAGCATGTTTTTTTTTATTTTATGTTTTGATAATTGTATTCTTATTCTTACTAATCTGAAAGAAATGTGCAATCTTAGAAGATGCCTGCTTCCATCACAGACTTAACTACTGATAATTCTGTGGCGCATTATTCAAATACTTTTTCCTATACTTAATACAGGTATATTACTAACAGAACTAGGGATTCATATACTATTCTTACAGTATAAAATATTCTACAGCTTGTTTTTTTCTCTGTCTTCTTGTGACTCCAATGATATGAATGGTCCTTTTCTAGATCTTTTTAAAGGTGTTTGGTGTTTTGTTGAAAGGATGTTCAAGAGCATCTGCT